ATGACCCAACCATTGCATCCCAAACTCTTCAATCACACATCACAAGCCTTGAAGAATGGTGTCAAAACTAGAGGATTAAAATAAATTATAATAAATCCCATCAAATCACCTTTACCCTTCGACGTAAACCAACGACTTCCTGTCCTACAGTTTCCTTTAACAATATTCCAGTTATCCCTGTTGAGCAAATCCGATACCTAGGACTCCACCTGGACAAACGTCTAACTTGGAATCCTCATACTAGACTGAAACGACAAGAAACCGCTCGACGTTTCCGACTACTCCAACACTTACTAGACAAACGCTCTAAACTTCCCATTAATTACAAAAGACTCATATACTTGACTATAATAAGACCTATTTGGACTTACGGAGTTGAGCTATGGAGCTCCACTAAACCATCGAATTCCTCTCGCATCCAATCCTTACAATCCAAAATCCTTCGTAAAATCCTCAATGCTCTTTACTTTGTCACTAATAAAATAATCCATAAAGACCTCAATGTTCCATATGTTTCCGATTTGGCCAAATCCAGATACCTATCCTTCCATAATAAACTTCATAACCATCCGAATCCTCTTGTTTCTAACCTTGCTTCCTCTTCGATTCCTGATAACCCTCCGAGGCGTCTGAAAAGAAGATGGCCTCGTGATCTTCTCATGTAGACAAATTATTAGAGTGCTACCAGTGGGTAGTTTCTCAACAAGTGTGTTTCATATGATAATATTTCACTGTACACATTTACTTGATGTATTCATACTAATACAGTTGTAAATATCATAATAAAAGTTAAAAAAAAAAAAAAAAAAACCCTATAACTGTCTAAACATATATATAAATTTATTTTTAAATATCCAATATTATATTTGTTCGTTTCACAATAATTATGTTGAATTGTAAACATAAGATGAACTACCGCCATTTTTGTTTAAACCATAGCCCTTCCCTCAATCGAAATAGAATGTCTGCGCCTATGGTTTAGAAAACCACATGATGAATTTTCGAACTACGATCTTGGTGATTTTATAAAAAGTTGCTTCATTGCATCAGTGTAGCTAACATTGTGAAGATAATTTAATTTCGAAGAGATAATGAGATTGGTATGTTAAAAAATGTTTGTCTCCTACCCGCCCACGTCATTAAGTCATAAGTTCCTCCAGAAATGACGTGGGCGAAGCCCCTATATAACATGACAAGTTAATATTCACTGAACATATTAATTACAATATTAATGATGAACATATAACGGAGGACTCATCAAGATTTGAAAATGACCCTTAGTATGGTCGAAACGTATCAATTAAACAAATCGATGCAAATTAATGCGTATCAATTAAATGTTGGTGAAAATTGGCCTAATTTATTGTAAAAAATAAAAAACTTCAAGACGCCAAAATTAGGAAAAATGAACAGAAGGATTTAAGAATGTTTGCAGTTGTGACCCACTTAAATGAACAAACTTTTTCGAAATCCCCAATGTCGTAGCTTAAATAATCATTGCGTGAGTTTTACTGAAAACTATTCTTTTTTCTTTGCTCTTATCCTATAGGAAATTCATCGTTTATGCCGAAAATGGTGACCCAAATTGAACAATATTTAGTTTATGTTATTAGTTTGATTAGAGAAATTGTCTTGTTCAGTAAAATCCGTGGTTTTCTTAGAAACTGTTTAAAAAATCATATCTCCACAACAGTTCTAGGTATGCATTAAGATATGGTTGGCTCTTCCTCACTTGCTGACATTTCTTCGTGGGAGACCATGTATATTCGTAGTACGTTATATTTAACATAACCGTGATCGATTCTACTCGTTGATGAACTTTCCTGATGTTTCTAATTTGCTACTGACTGCAATATATGTGCTTTAAGATTTAAAAAATAATTAGGGCTAGGCGAGGACTTAAGCCTGACAATGGCACTAATCAGTTAGTAAAATATCTCGTAGAAGATCAATTTAAGTCGACCGAACATCTGCACGAAAGTTTCCAACAGACTTGAGAACGTCTATGTCGGACGGACTTCGTCCAATGGCAGTGGGATTGATTTAATCTCACTAGGAGATTAAATGGAGCTTTTTTTGTGGCTTTATACATGGGCATATTATCCAATATACCAATTCATATATAGGTATGCTTAAAAGTTTATGTTATTAGAAGCAATAAGTTTATATAAGGCGTACTACCAGCTTACTATCAGATCACTTTTATTTTTATGAAATGAAATGAAAAAATAAATTTTATCTGGGACTGAAGTCCCCTAAGAATAATAATAACATGGTACAAAACATTGGTCCATAGTCTGGTTTGCCAGAATACAAAGAGGTCATTTGAGTGTTAATTTCAATTGTTATCGCAATCATACCTGGATAACAATGGTCAACACTTTAACACTAGTTCGTTTTATATGATTTACATGTATACAAAGAAAAAGTAAATAAATAAATGAAATAAAATTTGTCGATTAATTGTTAGTGAGTAGTTGTAATTACAGAATCCAATAAGTATTACATAGGTACGGAAGTTTAAAAATGAAGTAGGTGGTGGAATAAAAGTTGTTTGGAGGAATTTAAGGATGACGATCGATGGTGATAGGTAAAGAATTCCAGAAGGAGGTAGCACGAATGACGAAGGATTTGTTTTATGAGAAGGGATGTATAAATCAATAGGTTGAGATCTGATATTAAGAGAGTGGATAGAGGAACGTAGAGTGAGGAGTTCCATGATATAGGGATCATTTTCGGTTCTTAGGACCTGGAGAAGGAAAACACTAAGAAGGAATTGTCGTCGGGAAGTAAGATAAAGCCACTTCAACTCGGTATACCAGTGGGGAACACGAGAACGCCTGGGAATTCCAAAGATGAATCTAATAAACAGTTCATAAGTCTATTCAATTTCACCTCTAGTCTTTCAGGCAGCCCTCCATACACCAAGCAACCGTAGTCGAAGTGAGGGAAAACGAGAGAGGTTAGAAGGAGCTATCTGATTTTTTGAGGAGTAGAATCATGGATTCTTAGAGATTGTTTAGGGACAGTTATGGATTTTCTGGTTGCCTGGGAAATATGGTTATTCCAGGAAAGGTTCTGATCAAAGATAACTCCTGTGCTTTAGACTGTTGGGAAAAACTGGATGAGGAGGTTATTGAGGTAGAGTAGTGGAGAGTAAGGAAGGTAGAGGAGTAATGAGATGCCGGGACCCGATGAGAATAGCCGTAGTTTTATCTGTGTTCAGCTTTAAATTATTTATTTCTGCCTTCCATCTGTTGATGCAGTCAATATCCTCTTGTAGCTTTTGGGTAGCCTCAGGCATCTCAGAAGGATGGATAGATTGGTAAATTTGGAAATCATCGGCATATAAGTGGTAACGGGAGTGATTAATAGAGTCAGGTAGATCATTAATATATTTTTTTATTTTTTATTTCTTTATGACATTTACAACTGTATTACATAAATACATCAAGTAAATTTGGACATAATTGATATAATGACATGAATACACTTGCTGAGTAACTACCCAATGGTAGCACTCTAATGATATGACTACATTAGGAGATCACGGGGCCATCTTCTTTTCAGACGCCTCGGAGGGTTATCAGGAATTGAAGAGGAAGCAAGGTTAGAAACAAGAGGGTTGAGATGATTCTGAAGTTTATTATGGAAGGATAGGTATCTGGATTGGGCCAGATCTGAAACATAAGGAACATTAAGATCTTTATGGATAATTTTATTAGTGACAAAGTAAGGAGCATTGAGGATTTTACGAAGGATTTTGGATTGTAAGGATTGGATGCGAGAGGAATTCGATGGTTTAGTGGAGCCCCATAGCTCAAATCCGTAAGTCCAAATAGGTCTTATTATAGTCAAGTATATGAGTCTTTTGTAATTAATGGGAAGTTTAGAGCGTTTGTCTAGTAAGTGCTGAAGTAATCGGAAACGTCGAGCGGTTTCTTGTCGTTTCAGTCTAGTATGAGGATTCCAAGTTAGTCGTTTGTCCAGGTGGAGTCCTAGGTATCGGATTTGCTCAACAGGGATAAGTGGAATATTGTTAAAGGAAACTGTTGGACAGGAAGTCGTTGGTTTACGACGATCATTAATATAAATAAAGAAAACGGTCGGAGAGAGTGAGGAGCCCTGAGGAACACCTTGTGTTATTTGGAGCGGTGATGATGGATATTTATTAGTAATGACAACTGTCTGTGAGTGGTGGGATAAGAATGAGTGGAACCATTTTAGAACACTATTTGATATGGGCAGGCTTTGTAGTTTGGAAAGAAGGATCTTATGGTTACGGAATCGAAGGCTTTTGAATAGTCGAATAGGATTAGGATAGAAATTTTTTGTTTGTCTATGGAGGATTGTAGGTCTTGGGTAATCATTAACAAGGCAGATTGGGTAGAATTATGGAAACCGAAACCGGATTATAATGGATTTAGAAGACAGTTTTGCTCAAGGGAGTTGTTAAACTGAAAGTGTACTATTCTTTCCAGTGGCTTGCATAAATTGGATAATATGGAAATGGGTCTGAAGTCGAAAGCTGAGGAAGCTGAAATATCCGGACAATGGATATTTTCCAGGTTTCGGGGAAGATGAAATTTCAGTGAAAAAAAAGAGGAAAGGTGAAATGAACCACCATTTTATTTTTAGTGGTTATCATCAACATAATTTAATTATGTTACCTTATAATAGGTAATTAAGTTTTATTTAAAAAAAATGGCTTTCGTTTGACTTTTATTATATGTATATGCATTAACCCTATCCAGAATAAATGATCTCGTAAAAAGGGTATGTTAGTATATGAAATAATACTTACCTAATCTTTTCAATTCAGTAGTTTTAATTTATTATTGGAATGTATTTTTTCAAATATACTAATTTTAGTAATTTATCGTTAAATAAAAGTTTTAATGAAATTTTCCCACTATGAAAGATATATTATGTTTGACATCTTTGGAAAGTACTTTGTTTTCATTTAAGTAGAATCGATCACGTAGAGGTAGAAGTTAATTAAGCAGTCATGCTTCAGAGTCATATAAGGGTGTTGCCATTTTGCAGTAGTAGTTTATGAATTTTATCTATTTAAAAATAATGGACTTCTTACGATGATAGTTTAAAACCTTTTTATGACGTGTATTTTTATTTTTAGTGCTTTAAAAAACATATCCTCTAATCAAATTATAAGGAATTGTAATGCAGCTGACTATAGGAAGATAACATAGAAGTACTTATTTTTTTTATTGGAAGATAATATTTGCTTTGTTAAGAATATAGTATATATGATATCAAGTATGTAAACTTATTTATCTAGTAGTGTGTAACTACTTATTTAATTAGTTTATTCTATTAATTGTAGTTTAGTAGTAAATAATTTTTTTTTTAAATTTGTAACTATGATTTGTTTTATTTTCTTTGTTTCAGGTGTCAGATATGTTAAACAGCAAAACTAAGCATGCTCTCCACTGTGCATTATTGTTTTCAGTTATTATTATTTTTGAACTCTTAACTGGAGGACTAAAGTTATCAAGTGATGAAACAGTTATAGATCCATGGGTCAAATATGGATTCACTATTACGATAATTCTGTACACTCTTAGATTTCTGGCATTTTTACCTTTACCACAGATTCTTCTGAATTTTGCTGGGCTCACATTATACAATGCCTTCCCTGACAATGTTATTTTGAAAGGTAGTCCACTATTAGCCCCGTTTATATGTGTAAGGATAGTTACTCGTGGTGATTATCCACAACTAGTGAAGAACAATGTAAGCCGTAATTTATCGAAGTGTTTGAGTGCCGGTTTAGAACATTTTGTAATTGAAGTTGTGACTGATAAACCTATTCATCTGATGAAGGATAGACGGGTTATAGAAACTGTCGTACCTGGAAATTACAAAACTAAATCTGGTGCTTTATTCAAAGCTCGTGCCCTGCAGTATTGTTTAGAAGAAGGTGTTAATACTTTATCTGACTCTGATTGGATTGTACATCTTGATGAAGAAACACTCTTGACAGAAAATTCCATTAGAGGTATATTGAATTTCGTCATAGATGGGAAGCACTCATTTGGTCAAGGATTGATTACATATGCAAATGAAGAGGTTATCAATTGGATTACTACTCTTGCTGATACTTTTAGGGTTGCAGACGATATGGGAAAACTTCGTTTTCAGTTTTTAATGTTTCATAAACCCCTTCTTAGCTGGAAAGGATCTTACGTTGTCACTCAGGTATCTTGACTGTTTTATATATATATATATATATATTATAATAGATATACATTACAATATTACTGAATACAGTATATACAAAGGATGACAAGTGTTGGGTATGGTAGTACTAAACTTATTAACATTAATATAGTTTTGGCTTTCTGTAAGAAGAACCAGCAATGAACAGACTTAGTCTAGCCAACTTTAAGTTATGCCTGTGCTATAAAATGCAATTATTTACATGTTATGACCTTCTACAAAATTATGGTTTCTTGTAATATTTTAAATATAGAATATCAGCCCTCAGAATAGAAATATGAAGAAATATAATTTTAAAAATTAAGAGTGCATCTCTGATTTTAAATTTATTGCTTATTAGTATGGCCGTTTAAATAATTAATATCATATATTTATAATGAAATCACTGCAGACAATGTTTCACTGTTCTGATTTGAGTATTTACGAGGTTAAAATTTTTACGATTATCTAATTTACGTAATATAAATTTGAATTCCTCAGTATAACACTTTAGGTATAATAAATACTCTTGTTACTTCAATCTTACAAAAATGATTTACTATATCTTTTTTAAACAATTTATCATTTAACTTTGTCTGACTTGATGAAAAAAAGGAAATGAAATTTACCTAGGTGACTGTTATCATCATAACACCTCTCTGATAAGATAACTTGACTTGTAACTACTGTACTACCGAGCAGTACCAACAAAATGTGCTCCTTCCTATTTCAATAAAGCATTGCTCAACTGCTAGCTGTCGGCTTGATGGGCAGTACCAGCAAAATAGTACCTTAAGACTGATCAAATGTAGCCTATACCAGATCCTTTGAAAAGGTCAGGAATATCAATTCACTACTAACCATCTGTTCAAAGATTTTATGATTTCATACGATAATATTAAGAGTGAACAGACTAGGCAGTGATGGAACTTTACATATAACTGTGCTGAGTTTCAATGTACAGTGATAAAAGTATTGTAAGAACTCAATGTTAATATCCCCAAGATTTTGGAAATGACAGTCTGGAACGTGTTTTGGGCATTTTAATAGGTTACAGATCCTTACATCATGATACAGCCCACTAGCGGATCCAGGATTTAATTTTGGGGGGGGGGGTGGGATTCAGCCCGAAAGATTTTTTTTTCGTATACATATAACGATAATTAATTTGAAAAAAAAAATAAAAAAATCAATTACCTATATGAAATGGTGTTTAAGTGGTTCTTGAAGTCCTATTAAATATAATTACACGAACAAGAATACTTTAAGAGATAGTTTTTAATATTTTTTTCTGTAAAACATGGTTATATTTTACCATTTTGGGGGGGGAGGGGGGCTTTTCAGCCCGAAAGCCCCTCCCATGTAGATTCGCCTGTGATACAGCCATAGTGTGATATTATTGCTTAAAATAGTATATATTTTTAAAAGTAAATTTTTTTTTTTGTTTTTTCATGAATGAAATCTTGGAATTTGGGGAACATTAGAAATTCGTAATTTCCTTAGAATACTATTATTTAGTTATTCAAAAAATAAAAACCAATAAAAGATACTTATGAAGAAAGCAGCTAACCATAGGGCAGGGCCCAAGATCATATCAGTCACTCTGTAGATGGAATTTTGAAAGTAGTAGAGTATAGCTGAGTCTTCCTAAAATAAATAATGTCGAACGACCTTTATACATTCCATTTCGAATATTGAATTAGCTTGATCAAAATGAATAATCCTCTATATTTTTTGTATTATTGAGCACAATAACTATAAATAACAATGATTATGAATCTAGGAGTAAACAATGGGTCATGGGTAATTTTAAATATTTGACAATGAAAATAATTCATTTTTACTGACTAGTATCCCTTCTTGGTAAGACCTGAAGACAACTGAAGAAATAACTAAAAAACTGTTGTTGATTTGTTTTTCCCTCGAGTATGTGTAACAAGTGGAAGTCTGACAATTTTTATCTATTTATAGCAGTGATGATTTTAATAACCACTAATAATCCAAATTAACTCATAATATACAGAAAGTGGTCGACCCGACAATATTTTCAATTATGACATACAATCAGTTTGATTATATAGTATAATTAGGTCTGTTAATAAGCTTTGTTTGGTTTTTCAACTTTATTTTGTTTGTTGGAGAATGATTACAATTTAAGAATTACCTTATTTGGCCATTAAGAACTGAGACACTCTGTATGAGGGCTTACTTGTATTGCAATGTATCTTCAGAGATTATCATTATAGTCAATTTTAATATTTTAAAACTGCCATATAAATTTCCTTATATAAGTTTTTGTACTGACATTTTTTAAAAATTATCTGATAGTGTAAACATTTAAATTTTTGTAATTTTCAATGATTTGGTAACTTTTTCTTTTTTATCTATTAGGTGAAAGCAGAACGTGACGTTACATTTGATAATGGATTGGATGGTTCAGTTGCTGAAGACTGTTTTTTTGCTATGAAAGCATTTAAAATGGGATATACATTCAATTTCATTGAAGGAGAAATGTGGGAAAAATCGCCTTTCACTCTTGGTGATTTCTTGCAACAGAGGAAACGTTGGCTCCAAGGAATCCTTCTTGTCGTACGTTCGAAAAAAATTCCTTTGAAAAATAAAATATTTCTCAGTATTTCATGTTATTCATGGGTTACAATGCCACTTTCAACATCAAATATATTATTAGCTTCACTGTGTCCAATTCCTTGTCCTCCTTTAATAGATTTCTTATGTGCTTTTATTGGTGCTGTAAGTATTTATATGTATATTTTTGGTGTCATTAAATCATTTTCATTATATCGTTTTGGTGTCATAAAATTTAGTCTTTGTATCTTTGGTGCCCTAGCTACTATTCCAGTCAATGTTGTCATTGAAAATGTTGCTGTAATTTGGGGTTTATTAGGAAAGAAGCATAAATTTTATGTTGTAAATAAAGATAATCGACCTCCCTTGACTGTTTAATTCTTAAATGAATAAGTTATAAATATCAAGATTGGATAATAATTCAATTTATTTAAATTTAGTTATACATTTCATAAAGTCTTTGTTCTTTTAGTTTTAAAGAATCTGTTCTAACCTTATAGTCATGACAGTCCTCATTCATACCATATAATTGTAAATAAAATAATAATTGTTTGCAGCCAAAAATTATATCTTTTCATATTACACCAATTTAAAACTGGTGTCATGTTATTGAGTATCTAATCATTCTTTATATAAAATCAATATGGTTTACAGTCACATTAAAACGTAAGGACACCATATGTATAATTTATTTATTTATTTAATTTTTTTTTATTTCTATTGCAGCGATTGATGAATTTCATTGTAATTAAAATACTATTATTATTTCAGTTATTTGTTTGTGTGTGTGAGTATGTATTAGCTGTTCCTTAGACGGTTATTTTAAGTACTACTTGTCCATAATATAAGAGATTACAGATTGGATAAAGTTGGCTGTGTAATGTCCATTTATTATATTGTTTACTAAATAAATCTCTTAGTTATGTTGGTTATTTTTTTAATTTGTATTTATAATTATTAACATCACAGAAAAGAAACACCTCTACTTAATTAGTTATAGCACAAGAAGTGTAAATGATATAGTAAGACTGAACAGTTAAATATTTTGTTTTCTTATTCTGTAATATTGGTGTTACATAAAAGGATCATGTAGAAATCTTAGTTAAAATTAGTTTTTTATTTTATTACTTTCTCACTACCGAAGGTAGGGAAGCATTGTATTTCTTTATTGTGTATTATTCAATATTCCCTTAAACTAATACCCTTCCAGAAGTATATCTCTTGCTTTAAACCAATTTCTTTATTTATAGTCACCATTGGTTACACGCTGTGAGTGTGTGAATATAAATAAAGTTAGTATGGTTCCATTATTTTTAAATTTAAGTCTTATGATGCAAAAGGTACCTTTAAATTATTTGGCTTTCTCTATGACTTATTTTTCTATGATTATTTATGCACTTTTCTAATATTTAATGTTCCCATCTTACAATTTTATTTATTATTTTAAATTACAAAATATTTAATGAAAATAATCAGTTTCTTGTGAGATGACCTGACCAATTACTAGGATACTCTAATCTTGTTTGTAATAATAACAATTCTCATCTAAAAACACTTATTGCATGCACATAATTAATTGAAGTTTATTAATTTAAAAAAATTGATATTAGCTGTGTTCCTAGATTATTTTGGTCTAAGATTAGTCGATAATGCAGTTTTTACATGATTCCTCTTTATTTTGGTCAGTTTTATATATATTTGCAAGAATTAAGAGTAATGTATTAACCATGGACAAGTGCTTATTAGTTTATTCTTATATAATTTTATTTATGCTACATTTTTAGTTTTTATAGCTGATTGTCAGAGCCTTGTTAAATTGGCATAGTAATGTAAGTGTTATAATTATTTTTATTATTGTTATTAAGAGGTTGAAAGTATTTAAAACCTAAGATTAAAAATTTTAAATATAAGTAGTTACAAACAAAGTTGAGAATTTGTAAGTTTCATATAATTAATCTTATTTTAATGGATGAATTCCTTTCTCACAATTTGATTGATAGCTGTCCTAGCACAAAGTCAATTATTGGAATGATGGAAATGCTTCTCTAATTTCATATGAAAAACTGTGATTTATAACTGATTTGTATCATTTTAGAAGTTTAGAAGATTAATAAATTTTAGGCACCTAAATTTATTATTCTATGCTTTTATAAAATTAATTCTAGTCATAATTTCTATAGAATGAGTTAATATAGTTGTAGAATTAACATTGTTTATTGCACTATCTAATTATTTTCTCTTATTTTAGGGGGTCTCAATAGTTCAATAGTTTTTGCTTGTTGAAGAAATTATTGTTTCATTTTTTAAAGTGATGATTTTTTTATTTAAATATATGTTTTTCTAGCACCTTTAAAATCATTATAAGCTAATAGCATTGGTATTATTTTTGGTGACTGATAGTAATAGTTTTATAAAGGATTGATTGTGGACTCCCTTTCGCTATATCAGTTATTATATATTATATATATGTTGTATCAGTTATGAATTCATAAGTTTTTTTTTTTTTTAAATATCATGAATTGAACTTAAATTGTGATTTTAACAATTAATCTTCCAAAAAATTGTCATTTTTATTTTAATGCAATATATTTTCTTGTAATTTAAAAATATAAAATTTGAAGTCATAATAGTTCTAACTTTTATCAGTTTATGGTTTGAACTTTGTTGATTAAAACAAAAAACATATCATTATTTCGAACAATGCAAATTTATTAACTTATATAATCAGACCATCTGTTATTAACTGATTACGTCATTAATGCAGCATGAAGAAAGTTGATTTATCTCAGATTAATTTTGTTATAAGGTAGTTTACAAAGAGCCTGTGCTGACATTTATGTTTTTAGTTTCTATTTCATTATAAAATAGTTGTGATCACTTGGCATAGTAACCAAATTCCAAATACTAGCTTTGGCAATCTAACTACTAATGCAGTTTTGTATTGAAATAGTTGCTGCTTTAATTTTGGTGTTAAGCTTATAACTTGAATATGAGTTTTCAGACAGGATCTATTTTAATTAACCTAAATTTTAATAAGAGCATTGTAGTGAGTAAATAAAATCTTATGTTAAACATTTGTATACTAGTTAATTTTATTTTTCCTTTGGCTGCTTGGTTGTTAGTTAATATGGTTTAAAATTAATGGCTTAGCGAGAAGTAGAGTGATATATTGAATGAAGTCTCTTTTCTTCATTAGGGAAAGGTGTTACAACAGCAATTTTTGCATTTCTCAATTTATTAACCATGGCAGTTAAAATAAAGTTCAAAAATTTTATAATTTCCATTAAAAAACAGTAGAAAAAGTGGTGCATTATTCAAGGACAAGGGTGTATGAAAGGATAGCCGACTTCTCCATTTCAACATTGAGGAAATTTAAAATAAAGTAGCAATCACAGAGGGAGGCTCTTTTTGGGCTGAAGCCCTCCAAAATGGTAAAATATAACCATGTCTTATAAAAAAAGTATTATTGTTTGTGTAATTAAATTTAATAGGCTTCAAGAATATAACACCATTTCATATAGGAAATAAGTTTCTTATTTTTACATTCTGAAAGAAACTAATATCAAAATAAAAACTAATTAATTTTATTTCTTCTATTACCCTCTTATTCAATCATTTGACCATTACCTAAATAGGATGTTGGACTATATAGGAACAAGTCCCCCTCATATTGGAAAGGAAAATGCTTCGTTGTATATTTAGTGGTGTACATCAGCAAGGCTCCAGGAGAAGGAAGAATGCTGGGTTAAGTGCGAAATATAAGGAAGTTTATGTATCCACATTTGTCAGAGTACATGTGTGGTACCCTTTGAAATGATTGAGGATAAAAGAAGACTGTGGCTACTGACGCAAAATCTCTGCTTTCGGGAACTGGAAGGAAGCAGTGCAGAACTAGGGATGATACGGAACTGGTGAAACCGTCCCATTGAACCGACATTTTAGAAGCTGGTTCCTCTCTAACAGGACCAAGATCACTCTCTACAAAACCTTGGTCCACCCTTTTTTAACTTATGGATCAGAAGCATGGGCCTTTAAGAAACAAGATGAAAATAAACTTCCTATCTATGAGAGATAAATCTTGTGAAGGATTTTTGGTCCTGTTAAAAAGAGTGGAATTTAGAGAAGGAGAAATGCCGAACACGCTGGCCTTTATAAGGGCATAGACTTGATAAAGTTTATCAAGATAGGCCGGGCATGTTGCACATATGGATGATTCGGCAATACCCAGTAAGATGTCCGGAAAGATGCATGAACAAAGAAAGGCTGGCTGGCCAAATGTAAGATGGGAGGATTCAGTGACATTGGGCGCACAGGTTCTACTGAGAGTCCGAAACTGGAGAGCTGCTGCATTTGATCGTATTGACTGGCGAAAGCTTTTGGAGGAGGCCAAGTCTCGGTGATGGGATGTAGTGCCATCTATGTATGAATGTTAATGTAAAAATTGTGTTCAACAATATTGATCAGGATATGATTTTGATCACTTATGATCAAAAATAAAAATCAGCTAATGATTACATCAATATGACAGCCAGAATTATATGGAATATATTTTTGTTCAATATTTAAGTCATTTGACATAAATAATATTTTCACATAGGATAAAAACATATACAAACAAAGTAATATCATTTATTTTATTTTAAAGCTCTGTACCAATTAACAAGATAAATTTACAAATTAAAGTGTTTATTTAATTTTAAACCTTAAAGTTAATAAAATCCTTGACTTTATTCAGTGATTCTGCCACACAAACATTTTCAGATATCTGTAGGGCCTTCAACACCCCGTGTCTCTCTGTTTTCATGATTCCAAAAGCCATTTAAATCAATTAAAATACTTATTAGAGTACCTCCTTGCCCACTAAAAAGAAACGTCATTAAGAATCCATGAACATGTTTATTAATTAAGAATTCTGCTTAATTAAAAAACAACAGGTATCTACAAGTAATATACAAATACTTTCTTTAGAGAAGAAAAGAGCTCTTACCAAAGTCAGATCTTTTAGGACTATGAAATAACTGGTAATGAGTGAATAATCATCAACAAGCAAAATAAGTATACCAATGAAATTGAATAAATGTAATAAACTCTTAAATACTGTGCAAAAGGGTGAAGAAGAGAGTATTCTTTTGAAGTTTTTATTTTTTAATGATTATTACCAAACGAATTACAAAAAAAAAAAATTAAAGATGAATTTTCTAGTATGAATTTCAAAAGTGAAAAATATTTTTTTTAAATTTAGTTTATTTCCTTATAATCATTAATCAAAATTTATCAAACTAGTGTTACTGGAAAACTTAGTTGAAAACATTGTTAAATAAATGTTATAGTTTTAAAAAGGTTGGTTGGACCTTTTAACTATATATATTTAATAAATTGACATAATCGTATAAGTAAATTAGTATGTTATTTTTTTGTTTGTATATAAACAACTTTTCAACATCGATAATCAAATAAACAAGCGTACATTTTTTTTTCTCTTACAATCATGTCAAATAAATATCTTTAATCATTAACGAAACACTGATAAATCAAATTTGAATAAATACATTTTAAATTGCCTAATAAAGTTGCATTTATGGTAGACTGTAAAATGTAAATTTCATAGCATTGGAGTAATTTTAAAATGATTTTTAATTTTTTGACTGTCCATAGGTAATTTATAGAAAAGAAGTGTTAAAAAAAATTCTTTTTTGGCCTTTTCGTATTTGTGATATCTTGTATGTTTCTTTTCAGTTGTTTTTAGAATTGACTATTTATGAATTTAATAATAATGCTTTAAGTAGAGATATCATTCATGGATTTGATATTTTGGGTTGTTCGTTTATTGTTCTTTTATGTGCTATTATAACCTCTCAGTTTGCCCGCAGTAATTCTGATGGGATCGGCACAAATTCAAACAAAGGAATCATGATGGAGTTGTATTGGGCTGCCAGGAGCCGAATGGCCTAATAGCCAATGGCAGAGGTGTTTAAAAAAAAAAAAATGTGCTGTTATATTTTTTACACATATATTTATAATTATTGTGTATTTATATTATAGATATAATTATTTAACTTGGAAATTGCCCGAAACATCGTCAAGAAATTTAAATAAATTAAAGCATTGAATAAATGTATAAGGGTAAAATAGAGTGTTTTCCTCAAATTATAAATTTCATTATTGCATACATAAAATTTTCTATTTAATTCCACCTTCTTTTTCTATTTCTGCCAATCATCAATTTAATATTTTAGAATGATTCAGGTATTATAGTTAAAAAATAAATATAGATAATTTACAGTTAGATAAGAGCTCTTCATAGAATTAGGTATAGCAATTAACTTAAATATAAGAAGTAAATAATAGCTGTTTCTATAAATCTAAGATATTTTTGAGAATTTAACTTACCAGTTCAAAATATCTTGTAAAGTAATTTTAGTAGGATCTGCCGGCTTTATCATATCAAACATTTCATCTTTAACATCCTGGAAATTAACAGGATCTTGACCATTTTGTTTCATTTGATCTTGGATCGCCTATCAACATAAAACATTTCAATGATATGTTTAAGTTATCATTGAAAAACTTTGATAAAAGACAATCTTTTAATTTCTTTTAAAATAGGGAAGAATGGATGTCTTAAAATTCGAAAAAGTTCTTAGAATTTGATTTATATTGTTTTCCACTTAATGTTTTGGACAATCAAATTATGGTATTAATATTTGTTTGCTAATACAATCAAAATAATATACTAAAATTTTATTATATTATTATAACATTATTAGGCCATTTCTGAGTTATGAATGATGTAACAGAGGATTCTAGGCACCTATGTCAATGCCACTTTTCCGCCGATTAAATTTATTTCCTAAATAACTGCTTCATATATTTTAAAAAGTAATCAGAGTTTTCGAAAGAAAATATAAAAAAACATACAATTTTCGTTATTATTGACTGTTCACAAACGATGCTTGATTTTCAACTTTAGTTTGAACGATTTGAAAAAATAGAATTTACTGGTGTTTTTTATTTCTAAAGCCAATTATTTTTTCATATTTTATTGCTCTCTAACTATCCAGCTTCATTAATAGGCCAATTATGACATAATTAATCTCAGTGACCGAAAAACTAACTCAAGTCAAAGACGTCAATCCGCCATTTTGGGGCAATACAGCCAATTTTTAATGTGGGAACATTGGCTTTTGTTTAATAAATAGTTACAAGGAACACAACTATATGCAACTTATTGGGATGTGGGAGGAGGGTGCATGATGGGGGTTCTAGTCCATGTAAAATACTTTTCAAAACACCTCCCAACTACCATCTGCCATTCTAGTTAACAGCTTATTAACTTCAGGAAAAACCTCCAAATTCTCTGGACAAGGTTCAAAATGGAGTTACAGAATCCTTTCATTTAAAACTGAAAGAGTACTATTGTGAATAAATCAAAATAGGCAAATTTTGAAAGTTCGACAGTTTGTTTCCTGTTGGGTTCAGAAAAAAATGTACGAAAATGTATGATAATTTTAAACTGTTTATGATTAAATGTAACCATTTTTTCTATGTCGCTCTAACAAGGAGATGTTTAGCGTAAACAAAAAAACTTTGAAATTTCAATGGTTTTTTGCAGCGAACCCACAATGCTTTAAAGGACGGAAACTAGGATTTTTTTATATTCACTACATATCTAACAATACAAAAAGAAATTTGAATTACCCTATCTTTTGCAAGCTAACATGTCTAATTTGACTGGACTACTACAAAAACAGAAAAAATGACATCTTCAATTAAATTCCAAATAAGCTGAGCAGAAATAAATAAATATTATATTATGGAAATATATTAAAGATCATAAGCAACACATAATAATGAAACTATATTATTTATCATATACTGTAGCAATTCAGACGGAACGGATCCACTATAAGCTCTCAGATCGACCATGTACTCGTCAGCGCCAGATATAAATCTTCATTACTTGATGTTCGCACAAAACGAGGGGCTAACATTGACTAGGACCACTACCTTATAATTGCAAAAATAAGGTATCCGATATCAACAGTGAAGTACCAGCCTCAACGTTCTCTGAAGAGGTACAATATTGAAAAGTTTAAGGACAGTGATATGATACAAGCATTAGATTCTCATACCAACTGGACATCAGATTAAGGAACTCTGTCCCAGAATCAAATCTCGAGTCACAAAGGAACTCATGCCGCACTGCACTTATGGAAGTAGCAAACGAGGTGGTAGGAGATAAGACCAAACAGATATATAACCAGTGGTTCGATGACGAATGTGGTGCAGTGACCAAGAGAAAAAACATTGAATACAATAAAATGATGCAAAGGAAGCACACACGAAGCTCTGTCGAGGAATACAGAGCAACGAGAAGGCGCGAGAGGCATGTCCATAGGAGGAAGAAAAGACGATGGGAGAATAAGAGTCTACAGGAGATAAAAGAGGCCTTCATCTCCAAAAATACTAGAGAATTCTTCCAGGTTATTAATAAAGGAAGAAAGCCCTTTATCGCCCGTACCACAGGATGCAGAGCAAACGATGGCTCCTTAGTAACTGACAAACAAGGCATTTCGGACAGATGGGCTGAATACTTTTCAACTCTTCTCAACAGAAATGGCACACATGTCTCAGAGGCAAATGATCCAATTACAGGTGGTGAAGACGTAGAACCCCCAGACGAGGAAGAAATCAATGAAGCCATAAAAGGACTAAAAAGCAATAGAGCCCCAGGCATTGATAACATCCCTGCAGAGTTCTATAAACATGGTAGTCAAGAGCTCATAAAACTCCTCCAGGAAATGTTTCATGCCGTTTGGGTTGATGAAGAGCTTCCAAGTGATTGGAAAAAATCCATTATATGCCCAGTGTACAAAAAAGGGACGTCTATCAATGTAATAATTACAGGGGCATATGCCTTCTACCCACCGCCTATAAAATCTTTTCATGGATTCTTTATAGAAGAATCATTTCTTATGCCGAGGCTGAAATCAGAAAATACCAGGCCGGATTCATTAAGGGTAAATCAACCATCGATCAAATATTCACCTTACGAATCCTTCTGGAGAAAAACCAAAGAATATCGAATTGGTACACATCACATCTTCATTGATTTCAAGCAAGCATATGATTCCATAAATCGTGAGGAAGCATACAAAGCAATGGTAGAAATGAATGTACCTAAAAAAACTTGTAAGGCTTGTTAGAATGACAATGGAGGGTAATGAGTGTTTCGTACGAGTACAAGGTGACTTGTCAAAGGGGTTTAGAACATCGACAGGTGTAAGGAAGGGAGACGCTTACTTAGCCCATTAAGTAATTACGATATTCTAAACTAAAATTGAGATTAAAGCTCAGGCTTTGTTTCTGTAGAGAAACTAAAGGGAGGCCAAGGAAGATCTTACTCAGAAGAGAAAAGAATGTACACGGCGAAGACCTGCTGTAAGATGGGTAGAAGCTGTTTTCCACCTTAAATATAATTGCTACATTATTAAATGGCACTACATCCCAATTATTTGAGACTTGGCCTGCTCCAGCATGGATCTCCAGTTCTCCCAGTTAGTTGCTGCAGCCTTCCAATTTCTGACACCAAGTAGTCTATATGCATCAGCAGCCACACAGTCTTGCCAGCGCAAACATGGTCTTCCCACTCGTCTGTTTCCAAACACAGGCTCATTCATAGCTCTCTGTGGGGGTGCATTCATATCCATCCGCGCGACATGGGCCGCCCAGCGTAGTCTTGCCAGTACGATAAATTGGCTCACATCCAGGTCATTAAACAATGTCTTTATTTCCAAATTCGTTCTCCTCCTCCAATTCTGTGGAAATAACATTGATTGTGAAATAGACAAACAGTGAAACAGACGAGTGGGAAGACCATGTTTGCGCTGGCAAGACTGTGTGGCTGCTGATGCATGTAGACTACTTGGTGTCAGAAATTGGAAGGCTGCAGCAACTAACCGGGAGAACTGGAGATCTATGCTGGAGCAGGCCAAGTCTCAAATAATTGGGATGTAGTGCCATTTAATAATGTAGCAATTATATTTAAGGTGGAAAACAGCTTCTGCCCATCTTACAGGTCTTCGCCGTGTACATTCTTTTCTCTTCTGAGTAAGATCTCCCTTGGCCTCTCTTTAGTTTCTCTACAGAAACAAAGCCTGAGCTTTAGTCTCAATTTTAGTTTAGAATATCGTAATTACTTAATGGGCTGATACACTCTTTCAACAAACTCATTAAGAAATTTTAAATGCCCTCCATATTTTCTTTTTAAATTCTAGGGGTTAGAGCACTTTTTATAACTTCTGTTGCAACCAGCCATGCCATCCTCCGAACTCTCTTAAGACTTTTTCAGTGGTTTCATCCATACGCACACTATTACTGTTTATAATCATGTGTTTTCAAAAAATTAAAACCTTCTTTTAACAGAATGGTTATGATGTTAATTGTTTCAAAATTACTATGTGATATATAATATGAAAATTTATTTTGTTTTAAACAAAGAATCTTAGTTCTTCCAAATCTTAACTATACTAAAAATATACTAACTCTAAAAAAATAATTTAAGGTGAATGCGTCTAAATAGCCTTTTCCTTTAATATCTAAAATCCTAAAGAAATAGTGTAATGACTGAGGTTCTTGACGATTTTCAAGAGCCAAAACAAAATCAAGGTAAGTTTTATAATCCATTTCTCCTTCATAAGTAAGACATTCCTGATAAACTCTTTCCAAAAATACACTTGTTAATGTTCCAGTACCCAACCTGAAAATGACATTTTAATAAGAGAATTAACATGACAATCACATAGAAATTAACTGGTGATATTTTAGATAGTAAACTTGGGGTCCCATAATTGATGTGTATTCACTTTAATATATACAGCTGAATTGATGTGTTTCTGTTTCCCAGTTAAGCTCATTACAATTAAAAATCATAGCTGGAAAAAGCTTTGAATGTAAAAAAAGTGATTTTAGATCATATTTAAAAATAACTATGTAAAAAAATTTAAGTTGTATATCTTTAACCATTCATTATTATTTTTTGAAAGCTTGGCTACGTTTCAGGTTCCAATGTCATTTTGAAGCCTTCTAAAAAGACTTTTTAACATTTATATCTTATAAGTAGGTATAACATTTAATGTAATATAATAGTCGTATCATTTCAATTTAACAATAAATAAAACATTTCATTTTAAGTGAGATTGAGTCAATAATTGAATGACATGTCAAAATTACAAAAAGTTATTCAAGGTTGAATTACAAAACTCCATCACACAAAATACAGACATTATGGTAAGATCAATCCAAAAAGGCTCTTAGTGATTCATAATTTACTTATTCAAATTAACTGTTACTAACTAATTTAAACTTATGTTGTATCTGACAACTACAAAATTGGATTAATATCTATGCGGAAGTTTCTAGCTGGAAGGTTACATACAGCTATATATATTTTTAGATAGCATGAAAATGGCATTGAAAGCTGAAATGTAGCCAAGGTAACAAAACATAATAAATAATGGTAAAAGATATACAGCCTAAATTATTTGATTAACTAATTGATATTTCACCTTAAACAAAAATAAATAAATTATAAAGGAAGGAGATGGTCCGGGGTTGCGGTCATAAATAGGCTAAATAGTGGTAAAACTATTTTATTGAAAGCCAACGTTTCGACCCGTCTTTGCAGGTCTTCATCGGGGCTAGAACGGACAAGATACAAAAAGATAGAGAATTGTGGCAATTACATAATATTTAGACATAATTTATAAACAATGTGAATAAGCTTATTAAAATTATAAATAGTAAGTACAATAAAATATGGACTAAGTAAGCTGAGTAACAAGATCCTAAACTAAAGTAAATAGATGCTAACAATTGTTGTAGTGTAATATATAATAAATGAAAATGTGAGTATAATTCTACAAAATCTACAGGAGAAAAATAAAATTAGAGACTTACAGGTGTGTTCATCTAGGAGTTATAAGTAATCTAGGAAATATAATTATAAGTATTAATATTTGTTTTTCCCTCTCTATACTTTTAAGTTAGCTCTGCAATGTATGTATGTTAATGAAGTTATTTCTATATTTATATTTTACTTTTGCCAATTTTGGGTTTATTCACATTGTACTCTGATCTAGAATCATGAAATACCTCTCACATCTCTCAACTCTATTTTATATGTATATTTATAATTTAATATTTCATATAGATATTCACATTGTTTATAAATCATGTCTAAATATTATATAATTGCCACAATTCTCTATCTTTTTGTATCTTGTCCGTTCTAGTCCTGATGAAGACCTGCAAAGACGGGTTGAAACGTTGGCTTTCAATAAAATAGTTTTACCACTATTTAGCCTATTTATGATCGCAACCCCGGACCATCTCCTTCCTTTATAATGCAACGGTCAACTATTAAATATTCAATTATGTATATATTTTTTTGGGAGACCCTTTATTTTTATGATTCATATATATATATATATATATATATACACACACAGGGTGTTTCAGGGTTAAGTGGCCAAACTGCAAAAATGAACTAAGGACCTCAAAACAAGAAAAAATTTCCTCTAAAGGTATATCCACAAACTTTTTGTTTAGGAGATATTCACACCTAAAAATTTTTGTTGTTATGAATTATTTACGTAATATGAAATTAATAAAACCTAGTTATTTGTTCTAACTACTATATTAATTAAATGTAAACTCTGCATCTTTCTTCAACAGAACGGCACTGGATATGTTATTGTTTCACAAGATTCAATTATCCTTTGTAAGGAATTAAGGTCATTGACCAGACTTGCTGAATCATATCCCATATCTCAATCAATGAATTCACCGTTCAGGACCAGTAGCTTGGCCTGCACGCTCTTCAGACCTGACACCACTGGATTTTTTTGTTTGGGGTGAAATTAAACAAAAAGTCTATGCAAGTCTGGTCAATGACCTTAATTCCTTATGAAGAAGGATAATTGAATCTTGTGAAACAAGTACACATATCCAGTGCCTGCCGTTATGCCACTGCTGATGTTGAAGAAAGATGCCAAGCCTGTCTTAATGCTCAAGGAAATCACTTAGAACAACATTTAATATGAATGTTAATGTTAACATTTAATTACTTAAGTAGTTAAACAAATAAATAGGTTTTATTTATTTCATATAATGTAAATAATTCATAACAACGAAAATCTTTAGGTGTCAATATCACTTAAACAAAGCGTTTGCAGACATACCTTCAGAGGGAATTTTTTTCTTGTTTTGAGGTCCTTAGTATATTTTTGCAGTTTGGCCACTTAACCCTGAAACACCCTGTATATACAGGGTGTCCCGTTAGTAGAGAGCAATATTTAAAAGGTTGATAGTAGCCATCAAGATCTACAAAAAGTTCATATACACAATTGCCCAATTTCCAACAGAAAAATAGGAAATTTAAGATTTTGTTTTTTTAGGAAGCAATAACTTAAAAAATATTTGATTTAAGTAATTAATCATTCCTTTTTAGCAAACTCAACAAAATTTATTTTAAAAGAAAGTAGAGTTTGTCATTGTTAAGACTATTTAAAGAGGACTATTGAGCAGACAAACACAGCTAAGTTCCATTTAAAAAAAATCATAAATTATTTGTATTTTGTTTTTTACTACCCTTCAACTGCACAACATTTACTCCACTTTTAGAAAAACATTCTCATTTAATAAGCTTTAAGTCCATTTTAAATTTTAAGTTTTAGTAAGAAACATTAAGTTTGTCACTGATAAAAACATATCAATTTCTATTGAATATTTAATAGTTGACAGCTGCATTATAAAGGAAGAAGATGGTCCGGGGTTGCAGTCATAAATAGGCTAAACAGTAGTAAAACTATTTTATTGAAAGGCGACGTTTCGACCCGACTTTGCAGGTCTTCATCAGGGAGGTGTGTTCATCTAGGAGTTTCACTAAGAATTCAGTTCTAAGTGAAACTCCTAGATGAAGTCCTGCACACACCTCCCTGATGAAGACCTGCAAAGTCGGGTCGAAACGTCGGCTTTCAATAAAATAGTTTTACCACTATTTAGCCTATTTATGACTGCAACCCCGGACCATCTTCTTCCTTTATATCAATTTCTATGATGGAGATTTGAGAAAACACACGGTTTCATAACAACAAAATCATTATTTTTACATTTATAAATAAAATGTGTTTACAGGCAATTATGTTTATTACAATACATCCCATATCACGGAAAAACAAGAAATAAAAGCTCTGCGACATTAATTGTAGTCATTTTTGCATAAAACATGGGTACTTCAAGGTGATTGGATAGGAAATCACATCATTTGTTTACACAACTTACTTGAGATGAATCTCAATTTTTTCCCTAATAAACCACAAATTAATTAATATGGACTTTAGCTTATTAAATGAGAAAGTTTTTCCAAAAGTGGAGTAAATGTAGCAAAATTAAAGGGCGATAAAAAAAAAAAATCACTAATAATTTATGACTTTATTTTAAACGGAACATAGCTGTGTTTGTTCATCCAATAGTTCTCTTTAAATAGTTCTAACAATGACAAGCTATACTTTCGTTTAGAATAAATTTTGTCTGGTTTACTATGGAGCAATGTTGAGTTACTTAAATCAAATATTTTATAAGTTATCGCTTCCAATACAACAGAAAACGTGACTCGCTTAAAAAAACACAAATCTTAAATTTCCTACTTTTCTGCTGGAAATTGGGCAATTGTTTATATGAACTTTTTTGCAGATCTTGATATATACTATCAACCTTCTAAATAATTCCCTCCACTTACGGGATACCCTTTATATATTAACTTTTTGCAATAAAATAGAAAATAGCAAAAAAGGATAATTTAAAAAAAATATATGACAAGTAGAATTATAAGATTTAAAAACAGAACAAATTTCTCATTTAAGGACAATAGAAGTGACCAAAAGAAATAAAATCATACTTTTAAAAAAGTTTGGTTAATTAATAGGAAGAAATAAATCAAAATTTAAGTAATATATTTTTCTTTCAAATGATAAAAAAAAAATAAATAAAAGGAGAATCACCCAGCAAGCTCATTTTTACTCAACATCCCATTGTGATCTTTATCTAGATTAAGGTACTGGCCATATACTCTTAATGCTGAGGGTGCAGAAAACCAATTAGCATCTTGTAGATCTTTAGGGAGATTACCATCTCTGAGCTATGAAATAATGAAATTAATTAATAAATAAATACCTAGTTTACAATGGTAATGTAATTTATATTTAATTTAATATTTTCAGTATATATGGACAATTTACTATATAAATTATTCATTAATAAGGATAACAATGAGACTATTTTAGAAGTATAGGCCATAGTGTGAATGAGCTACTCTTATGTCACTATTAACATTGTCCTTAGATGTGACAGATTGTAATACATCTCAATAAAGAATTTTTGCTTAGTAAAAAAGAATTATAAGTAAGATATACGAGGGTGGTCTGAAAACTTTCCGACCGCAACGCGAAAATGGCAGCACTTGTAAATAAAAGCAAGTGAATTTCATTGTTAATCTGTTGACAGTTACCTACCAAAGGTTCAGCCATTTTGGACATGCAGTTTTTATGTAACAGTCATTTGAGTAAGTTGATGTGAGAGTTTTTGTAAAAATGGACAAAATCGAGTATTGAGCTGTCATTAAATATTTGTTTTTGAAAGGCAATATGCCTACGCAAATCAAAGATGAGTTGGATTCTGTGCATGGAGTCTCTGCACCATCATTTACCATAGTGAAATTTTGGGCAGCTGAATTTAAAAGTGGCCGTAAGAGCTTGGAGAGGAACGTTCGGGACGTCCAAAAACTGCAACTACCGACGAAAACATGGCCAAAGTTCATCAAATGATGCCTTGTATATATATATATATATATATATATATATATATATATATATATATATATATATATACACTGACAGGCAAAAAATTCCACCCATTGATTTTTTCATGTTTTCATCTAAAAATATTTCTCCTTTGGATTGGTCTATTGTTTTTAATGAATAAATAGGTAATCTTTTTGTTTGTTTTCAATTAGGAATGTTAATATAGAGGACAATAACCCTTAATCCTTAATTCAATGAAATGATTCTAGATTCCAATGTTTACTTTCTATGGAATCAAAATGTTTATTCAGTATCATTAGTTCAGTGCCGTTTCTTGCAGCACATTTCTTAGTCTCCGGCTTTTAATTTTTTCAATATTAAGTTTAAAAATGCCTCTTAGTGCTGAGGATGTTACGTGTGGTGTGGCAATTATTGATGATGGACGTTCCATTAGATATGCAGCTAATGCCATCGAAGTTCCATATGAAACTTTACAAGACGACGTCAGGCGTTTCTTGGTTCTTACAATAGAAGGCCCGGTTCTGGACAGCCTAGGGTAACAGAACCACGGGATGACCGGTTTTTGACTTTAAGAATTTTACGAAACCGGCACCTTACCGTTGTTCAAGCGATTCATCAGCTCGAAGAAGTTCGAGGTGTGCAAGATTAAATGAGTACGGATTAATGGCTTTTCGTCCAGTAAGAGGACCAGAGTTGACCAGAACTCACAGAGTAACATGGCTGGCTTTTGCTTGAGAGCCATTGGACTATGGACGAATGGAATGCTGCGCTTTTTACAGATGAGTCAAGATTCGCTCTTCGATCTCCAGACGGGCGTGAAAGGGTGTGGAGAAGTAGAAACGAAAGATAAGCAGCCTGTAATTTTTCCCAGAGCCAACCTTTCCAACGTGGTTCCTTAATGGTGTGGGCTGGGATTTCAATGGAGCGCCGCACAGAATTGGTTGTTGTTCATGGAGGGTCTTTGACGGCCATTCGCTATGTAGATGAGATTTTGGAACCTCATGTGTTGCCTATCCTCAACGAAATTGGCGATCGTTCTATTCTAATGCACGCCCACATGTCGCCCGCATAGTGCAGACGTTCCTTCAACAGAATAATATTGAGGTTTTAGCCTGGCCAGCACGTTCTCCAGATTTGAACCCCATTGGGCATTTATGGGATAACCTCGGAAGATGAATAAGAGCGCGTGCAACACTTCCTGATACAATGCAGGACCTTGAAAGGGCTCTTCGGGAGGAATGGGCTATCCTCCAGCAAAGGGAATTTCCCGATTGTTGGAAAGTATGCCGAGGCGTCTTCAAGAAGTAGTGAAGGCAAGAGGAGGAAACGCGCTACTAAACGATGATGTAATTAATTTCTTTTAGAATAATAATAGTTCGTTTTTCAATTTTTTTTTCTCTAATCTTTCTTACCCAATCACATTTTGATTATTTAAGGTAAAAAAGATTATAAATTCCATAAATACTAAGTGTTATCTACAAATACCATGTATTATATACAAATACAACTTTTTTTACAAGTGGCAGAAATAATGTTAAATGAAAACATGAAAAAAATAAAGTGCCTGTCAGTGTATATATATAGTTTATAAATAATGCATTTATTATACATGATTGAAAATTGAAAGATTAGAGTAAAAAAAAAGTCTGTTCAGGGTCATTCCATGCCAAATCATCCAGAAATAGTTCAATTTGTAAATATAGCATTTCCAAGTCAATTTCAACCTTTTCCAAGTCAAATTCAACCTTTTCCAAGTCAAATTAAACTTTTTCCAAGTCAAATTCAACCTTTTCCATTTCAAATTAAACCTTTTCCATTTCAAATTCAACCTTTTTTTATTTATTTAATTATCTTTAATTTTTCGATGTGTGGGTCTGTTATCGTATGAATAGTTTTTGAAAATAACCTCCTTTTTAAGATTACGTGACTGAGTTTCGAATTATTTAAGTTTTTAGAATTTATCCAATATAAAGGTCTACTTTTATGTTTCCGGAGCCGTAGATTTTGAAAACGACCTCCATTTTAAGATTAGGCCACGCGTTTCGACTTATTTGAGTTTTTCGGATATTTTTGATATGAGGGTGTAGATTTTGAAAATGACCTCCATTTCATGATTACGCCATTGGATTTTGATTTATTTGAGCTTTTCGGATATTTTTCATATGAGGGTGTATTTTTATGTTTCCGGAGCTGTAGATTTTGAAAATGACCTCCATTTTAAGATTAGGCCACCGCGTTTCGACTTATTTGAGCTTTTCGGATTTTTTTCATATGAGGGTGTATTCTTATGTTTCCGGAGCTGTAGATTTTGAAAATGACCTCCATTTTAAGATTAGGCCACCGCGTTTCGACTTATTTGAGCTTTTCGGATATTTTTCATATGAGGGTGTATTTTTATGTTTCCGGAGCTGTAGATTTTGAAAATGACCTCCATTTCATGATTACGCCATTGGATTTTGACTTATTTAAGTTTTTCGAATTTAGCCAATTTAAAGGTCTACTTTTATGTTTTCAGAACTGTAGATTCTGAAAATGACTTCTATTTTATGATTACGCCACTGCGTTTCAACTTATTTAAGTTTTTAGAATTTAACAAGTATAAAGGTCTAATTTTATGTTTCTGGAGCAGCAGATTTCCCCCATTTTGTAAATGACCCAATTTCAAGTTTATGCCACTGTGTTTTGGATTATAAAAGTTTTTTTTTTTTTACTTTTTCGGTATAAGAGATCTACTTATATGTTATCCGAGACGCATTGAAATTTTTCTAATCTTTAATATTTAAATTTATCTAATATTTAAGCTCCATTTTATGATTAACCCGCTGCATCTCGAATAATTAGGCTTCATTTTGGATTTTTACAATACAAAGTTTCATCAAATGTTTTCGAGTATGAATAAATAAATAAATATTATGAAGCTAAAGTTAAATTAACCACAGAATACAAACTAAAAAGCCGAAAAGCAGCTGGTAATAAATTTAACCTTCCGTTCAGATTTTTCAGCTAATTTTTCGAAATCTTATAATTTTGTGACAGGAGACCACAACATTAAAAAAGATAACTAAAATTAAATTAAAAATGAGACAATACATATTTTATTTATTTTGATTAGATATTTTTATTTATTTATTGAAAAATAAATTAATCCTTCATATTTTGTTTTTTATTCGAAGGAAAAATCAAAAACACTTAAAAAAACCGAAACACAGTGGTCTAATCTTAAAATGTAAATCGTTTTAAAAACTAAGGCTCCGGCATCATAAAAGTAGACCTTTAAATTGGATAAATTCGAAAAACTTGAATAAGGCGAAACGCAGTGGCGTAATCTTAAAATGGAGGTCATTTTCAAAATCTACAGCTCCGGAAACATAAAAATACACCCTCATATGAAAAATATCCGAAAAGCTCAAATAAGTCAAAATGCGGTGGCCTAATCTTAAAATGGAGGTCATTTTCAAAACCTACAGCTCCGGAAACATAAGAATACACCCTCACATGAAAAAAATCCGAAAAAACTCAAATAAGTCGAAATGCGGTGGCCTAATCTTAAAATGGAGGTCATTTTCAAAATCTACAGCTCCGGAAACATAAAAATACACCCTCATATGAAAAATATCCGAAAAACTCAAATAAGTCGAAACGCGGTGGCCTAATCTTAAAATGGAGGTCGTTTTCAAAATCTACGGCTCCAGAAACATAAAAGTAGACCTTTATATTTAATAAATTTTAAAAACTTAAATAAGTCAAAACACAGTGGCGTAAACATAAAATGGATGTCATTTTCAAAATTTACTGATCGGGAAACATAAAAATACATCCTTATATCGAATAAGTCAAAAAAACTTAAATGATTCGAAACGCAGTCAGTTAATCTTAAAATGGGGTGTTATTTTCAAAACTAGGTACATGACAGCATAATACTAGTCCCTAATAAATCCGAATAGGTACAATAAATCGATATCCGTAAGTGAAAATTCTACTTAGAAGAACATAATAATAGACTTTCATATTGGAGGGGGGGAGGGGATGGCCATTATTTAAAAAAAATATAAGATTTACAAAAAATTAAAACATTAATTTGAAATGAAAACGGTTGAATTTGAATTGGAAAAGGTTTAATTTGAAATGGAAATGGTTGAATTTGACTTGGAAATGACATAGCAATATCACACTGAAAAAATCTAAAATGTTAAAATAAATGGATATGCAACCGCGTTATCAAAATTTTTTTTGTATTTTTCAAAAGCTATACCTTCGTTAATATAGTAAGTGGCCTTCATTTCGAAAAAAATCGAAAATTGACAAAAATTCGAAAGTT